GTGCCACCAACGCTGACAACCTGAGTTCAATTCCCAGAACCCACATGGAAGAAAACAACTGATTTCTGCAGGTTATCCTCTGACTTCCACATACCCACTGTGACATGAACACACACACACACACACACACACACACACACACACACAGAGACAGACACACACAAAAGCACACACACACACACAGACATACACACACAGACACACACAGAGACAAACACACACACACACAGACAGACATACACACACAGACACACACAAAAGCATACACACAGAGACACACACACACACAGAGACACACACACACACACACTCACAGGCACACACAAACACTTGCTTTGGTTAGAGTGCAGCCACGTCTCTGAAAATGAGTGCTGGAGCAGGGTCTTGAGGGCACATGAGGATCAAGAACACAAGAGGCACAGGATCAATGGATCCATGAGGGGAATCGGAAGCGGACAAGGGAACGGAAATGGGGGGAAGTGACGAGCAAGCCCGGGGAAGAAACCGACTGTGTCTGTCCACAGAGCTCACTAGTCCACGTGTCTGGAACAGAGGGCAGGAGGAAAGCAGTCGGTTAAGCTGCTCTCTGAGGTAGGTGGTTAACGGGCCTTTGTTGAGTTTAATTGCAGGCACACTGGGGACAAGGCCCGAAAGCCAGCCTGTGGGTAATGGAAAGACTTTGAAGTTTCTCCGTCAGGGCCTGGGAGCGTGAAATTACATCAGAAATTCGGGCTGTAGTTCAAGAGTAACAAGAGCCTGGCTTGTGACAGACACAACAATTGGTCCAGAAAAGTGGACCTGTGTACCAAATTAATCTAGGCAAAGTGAATCCCTAGATATCTTTTGGGGAAGGAGGCAGGATGCCTGGAAGAGAAGTGTTTCCACTGTGATGGCGTTCTGAATGCTGAGATGTGAGTTAAGTGCTGGGCTTACAGGGAAACTCCCTAAAAGGAGGTCAGAACCGTGTGCTCTTGTTACCTTTTCAGGAAACTGGAAGCTCTCCTTAGAGCCCTGAAGAAAGTCTAGGAGACTTACTGAGACCTGGCTTTGCTGACATTGAGCCACACAACCAATGGCAGCACTTACTACCCAGCTCTCGATACGACATGAGAAAACCCAATGCCCACTTGGTTTCAGCCACGGTTATTCATTTGCTGTCGCAGATAGTCAATGCTACCTGAGCGCCATTCTTCACCTTAATGTTCTGGTCCTTTGTCCCCTCTCTGAAGCCCTACCCTGTACTCTGTACTCCAGAAGACAAAATATGCTCCATTCTATCAACAAGGCATGTGGTATTAGGGTTCTCTAGAGGATCAGATAAAATGTTTACACACATTTGTAAATCTATTGTATTGTATTGTACTGTGTAGCTTTAGTTTTCCTGCCTTGCCCACAGTCAGGACAAATCTCTGTCACCCGCCAGTCCCACAGCCGCTCAGACCCAACCAAGCAAACACAGAGACTTATATTGCTTACAAACTGTATGGCCGTGGCAGGCTTCTTGTTAACTGTTCTTATATCTTAAAGTAACGCATTTCTACAAATCTATACCTTGCCACGCGGCTCGTGGCTTACCAGCATCTTCACATGCTGCTTGTCCTGGCAGTGGCTGGCAGCATCTCCTTCTGCCTTCCTGTTCTTTTATTTCTCCTCTCTGTTAGTCCCGCCTATACTTCCTGCCTAGCCACGACCAATCAGGTTTTATTTATTGACCAATCAGAGCAACCTGACATACAGAACATCCCCCAATACAGCCAAGTGCAGACCATCTCAGACACCTGCACTCAGGCCCATGGTCCTAATCATCCTCTATGCAAACCTGCTGGGTAACGCCACAAGGAACCCAAGAAGGGCTCCCACAGGACATACATTAACATCCCACAGCAGTACTGTATTTGTAAATTTATTGTATTCAGTTACGTACTAGGGGTGGGGAATCCAACACTGGCCGCCTCCTGGCAGAGAACCAGGCAGCTGTCTAAGGGGAAGGTAAGGGCAGTCCCTAGGGAGCTAAATCCACATTAAAAGGTCCATGGCCAGTGGCGCACTCACCAGAAGGGGCTTGCAAGCAGAAGCAGGCTGCCTCCCTCCAGCTCTTCCCCATCTGGTTGCCAGCCCATTGGAAGGGGCCACCCACATTTAGGGCAGGTCCCACATGTCAGTCACCTCTGGAAATGATCCCACAGGCACACAGGCGCATTTCACCAATCCTTAATATCCCTTCATCCAGTCAAGGTAACAACCCAAGCCAACCATCATATCCCCTCACCTGCAGGCCCTGGGTGTGACTCCTCTCATCCTCCTCCCTCAACCTCTTACAGGAAGTCTGTCCCACTTGGCTTTCAGATCTCACTGCTGACAGCTCTTCTTCCTTGGAGAGGGCATCCCCCTGTTCCCTCCCACTAACACTGTCCCTCCCCTAATCCAAGAGCAAAACCTTCCCATGTATTTCAAAGCACATCCTGGTCTCCAAAAACTAAAAGGGAAAACACACAAGAGTTATTTGGGGGATGTCAGGCATTCAATATGCTCCTCGAAATGGAAAAGCACAGGGAAGTAGCTAGGTGTGTGTATCCAGGTGAGCTTTCTGGCCTGGCCTTTGGCCCTTCCTGGAGTGTCCCCATGACCGCCTCACAACCCAATAGGAATCACAGATGCACTCAGTTCCATTGTTCCCAAGAAAATCCCCTTAACTTAATACAATAAGAATTAAAAATGAACCACTTCATTCTTATTCCTCATCGCATTGATCTGGTAAAGGATTCAAGTATAGGCAGGCTTGGCCTGTCCCTTTCCCCTAGTTATTTAAATGCTTAGTTCTTTTTAGCATGTGATAATGTAAAAAAGACAGAGATTCATCCCACCCACAAGTTTGTCTTGGCTCTAGCTTCACAGCAACTCTGGTGCTAAAGTGCTCGCTTGGCGTGCATGAGGCCCCAGGCATCCAAGCGCTCAAGCATCACCAACCCCATAGAAGCCAGGCACAGTGCTACATGCCTGTGATCCTAGCCCATGAGAGCCAGAGGCAGGGGTTCCAGAAGTTCAGGGTCGTCAGAGTGAGTTCAAGGTCAGCTCTCTGATACTCGAGACCCTACCTCAAAAACAAATTTGTGAATATATAGGAAATGTGTGAGTGGATAACTTTCTCTTCTTTGTAGTCTCCTTTTCTTCTCTCTGTTGAAGGAAGAGGTCAGCTCTGTTGTCAAGAGTTAAAGCAGGTTTGTAGCAGGGCTGACCCAGAGGGGCCCCAAAGGCAGGTTCCCTGCAGAAAGAGGAAGCCAAGGAGGGTGGAAGTGGGGTGGGGAGTCGAAACTGAGACCCCCCCCAAAGTAGTTCTTTGCTGAGGGTCAGAAGAAAAATGGCTGCCTAGTGTGCCTGTGGAAGGAGCCACACGCTCTACGCAAGCGTCTGCATGATCGAACTGTGGTATGAAAATAGCAGAAACCCTCCAGGTCAGCAAGCAAGGATGACAAGCAGCACCATGGCCATGTTTGTGGACAACCAGAATGTGTACCCTGCCCTGGACCTGAACTCTTGGAACGTCTTTGAAAATCTTCCTACCTGCTTTGCCAGGATGAGCAGACATCCAGGTTGCTGTGATGACTGCATGCAATGGATTGATGTTGTCAGGCAAGGGATTAGAGGTGGGTGAACGCTTTATGCTCCAAGTCTTGTCACAGAGGAGTAGGTTTTGTGTAGCGTTCCCATTCAGGGGGTGCTGCATGGCCCTACCACCTAGAAGAGGGCCTGCTGAAAACCTTTCTCTAGTGGAGTTCTGAGAATTAGCTCCTTTCGCCAACCTGCAGTCAGAAATTAGTGTAAATTATACACAAGTTCTATTTACTCATCACTGAACTTGTACAAAAGCCATATCTACCATATCATGCTTGGCAGGCCTGGAGGATGTATCGTTGAGAAAATCAAATGGGATAACATACATGACAGAACGGTTTTAAAACTGGTAAGACATGCCAACATCGAAGGCATCATATCGACAGCTTTGAGCTTCGGGGTCAGAGTACATTCTTTTAACATATGCAGTTCATGCTAACATCGGAAGACATGAACTTGCCCTTGGTTGCACTGCCTTTGGAAGCGAGGAGAGCGGAGTCCACAAGCCTCACCCATGCTCTCCCCCATTGCAGGTGACTTGCTAGACCCTGACGTCATCCGACAGAGAGGATGCACTAGGCCCTGACGTCATCCGACAGAGAGGATGCACTAGGCCCTGACGTCATCCGACAGAGAGGATGCAGGCCCCCTGGGCTATACACAGCTACCGGGATCTGTGACACTAAAATTAAAAAACGTGAACTCTATTAAATTGCTCTCAAAGGAGCCAAAAAAGGGCTAAATAACTTCTCCTATCAGACACCATCGCAGGTTTAACACGAGCGTAGAGCGTGCTGAGAAGCCCACTGGTTTGCGGGCCTCGTGCCTGGGGGCTCGGCCATAGCCACACAGCTGCATCTAGCAGTTCTATTTTTGGAACTAAACCCCGATAAGACTTCTACTTTGGCTATAAAAAAGGCTTTCTCTCATCCCCACTCTCTGCCTCATTTAATTTTTTTTATTATTATTATACAACTATAGTTACTTAATAAAACTTTGAGACCTGAGAATTCATTCGGAAAGTAATTCCATGGTCAAGTATCATTTTGGCAACAATTGTAATGAGGCCTCTCTCCACTTACTCTTCTCTTTAAAAGATGGTGGAAACTGGGAGGAGGGAAAACGAAGAAGGAGCGAAGGGCGTTACTGGATCCTTCAGAACATCTGTGACAGGAAGCCGCAGGGGAGCAGCCCAGAGCCACAGGAAGCAAAGGGCCCCTCTGCCCAGCACACTCTTCAGCTGTGTGTGTCTGGGAGGCTGCTTTCCCAGATGGCCCTCCGTTGGTGCTGATCAGCGAGGCCCCGGACTGTGGTGTCCCAGACCCTGAAAACATGTTTTCTGATTTGGGAGTTTTGACGTGTCGCCGCTGTGACAGGCCAAGTGTATCTGTGGCTCTACCCCTGCAGAGTCCTACAGCCTCTTCCCCTGGAGTAGACTATTCCCTGAGATGGTTCCCGCACGTGGAGTAGGAGAGGCCTGTAAAAACCAACCAGCTGTCAAGAAATATTAAGCCAAAGCCTGCCAAATGTTACGCATTCTATCATCTACCGTGGTCTCTTAACAAAAGCTTAGCATCCTAAAGGATTCCTATGGGGTAAGGACGACAATGTGGTCAGAGGACACAGGGGTCTAGAGTCTGGGGTTGTATTGTGGTATCAGCCCTCTTATAACATGATGTTTCCAGTACCTGGGGCAGAATAAAATATGTCAGCAAGATATGCTTCCTCCCGACCTTCAGACAAGAGCTATGACTTTAAGGCCTTTTCATAGAGACACACAAGCAAGTCAAAAGGAACACGTTGAATCGAGAGAGGGGGGTTTCCTCTGTAGTCCAAAGGGGATGCTCCCAGAAGGCTGCCTGTTTCTGAGGTGCCAGTGTCTAACTACCAAATAAATTAGGGTCTTTGGGGAAACTGTAAAGCCCATCAGTGAGAGGTACATTAATTCTGCTGAGTCACTGAGTGTCATTACAGGACTGGCCCCAAACATTGTGGACTTGTCGGGGCCCTGAAGGAATATAGCCGTGTCTCAAACAGGGGCCAGGGAGCTGGAGGGTTGGCCTTCCTGGCCTCACCTGTGGAAATCGGGACCTGATAGCCAAGAAGCAGCTTTTCCTGTGCACCCCGTCAGGTCTCAGCACAACCAGCTCACTCGTCACCCTCAAAGGGTTCTAACACGAGGCCAGTTCATCTCAGCCCTCTTCACGAGGGCCTCCAGAAGGAGCCTTTTTAGACTTTTTTTTTTTTTTGGCCACCCACCCCACCCCACCCCACACAAAATAATATCAAAGAACTTTACCAGGTAAGCACTGAGCCATAGACCATTTTCATGTGTAGCTTGCTGTCTTTGTTTATAATATACATGTTAGACCAGGTTGGCACTGTTCACATCTAGGGCCAGATACATTTTTTTTTTTTTTTTTTTTTGCTGTGAGAGGCTGATCTACATGCAGTGAGGATTCCTATGTGGAGAGAATATCGATGCTTTCCACCCACTGGCTGCCTATAGCACTGCCCTCACCTGGAGCAATGAAAACCATCTCCACATTAGCAAGTCAACATTAGTTTCATTGGGTTTTGTTGTTGTTGTTGGGGTCTAGGCCTCAAATTGATGATGTAGCTGAGGACCACTTTGAAATTCTGATCCTAAGTGCTGGGATTCTAGGCCTAGGTGACCGCACCCAGCTTATGACGCACTAGGGATGGAACGCACGAGTTTCTGCCTACTCAGCAGGCTTCCGACCAGCTGAGCTAAATCCCCAGCCCAGGGTACTTTCATCGATTCATAATGAACAAGAAGGAGGCTCGTGGAGGTGTAAACAGAGTAAAAACAGGACTTTTGGCAAAGTGCAGAGAGAGTGTTAAAAACGGAAACTAAGAGAAGGACTGGGCATAGCGTGGAAGGCCGGGGTCTACAGGACCAGGGCAGGGGATGCTGGAAAATCAGACTGCCCACTGAGCTCATGGTCCCTGGCTATTCTGCCCACCCTGCCCTTAGGGCTCCCAGCATTGGCCCCGTGGCACATTATTGGATTGTTTTATTTATAATTCTGTGGATTGGTTTCCTGATGTTTAATCATTAGCTGTGTTTCTTTGAGCCGTGGATTCTTTCTTGGAACAGCTTCGGCAGAACCTGTCCTGGTTGGGGCGGAGTTGCTAGGCAACCAGACCTCAGCCTACAGCTGAGTTACTGCAGTGCCTTCCAGTCCCTGTCCTAACCCACAACACTCGCCCTCCCCTAGCTGACTCAGCAAGTTAAGAAATGCTCTAGCCACTCATTTGCAAACAGCCCCATCCTGAACACACCCGACCACACACTGTGTGTGTGTGTGTGTGTGTGTGTGTGTGAAATGTGTCATAAGATTTTATTTGAAAAAAGACCTTCTTGGCTTAAAATAAAAACCTTGAATTTTAGGCAGTGTTAGTGATATCACGAGCATTATTTCCCACACAGGGCTGAGAAAAGAGCTGCAGACACAAGGACAGATACAGACAAAATGTTGTTCATTTGCCTCAGAGCATCCCTAGGACCCAGAGGATCTAAGGGACACCCCTTGAAAACAAGCTGCCAAGATGGTTTGGGTGCTAGAAACCCCCAATCCTGCCGGGCGTGGTGGTGCACGCCTTTAATCCCAGCACTTGGGAGGCAGAGGCAGGCGGATCTCTGTGAGTTCGAGGCCAGCCTCGGCTACCAAGTGAGCTCCAGGGACGGTGCAAAGCTACACAGAGAAACCCTGTCTCGAAAAAAAAAAAAAAACCAAAAAAAAAAAAAAAAAAAAGAAAGAAACCCCCAATCCTGATGACACATCCACCCAAGGATGGCCACCAGTGCATGAGCTCCATGTGTGATGGTCTGTTTAGTGACGTGGTCTCTACGTGGTCAGTGCTGGAGGAGATGAGACCAGCAGCAGAAACGTGTGAGGTGGAAGGCAAGGACATTTGTTTCCTTCAAAGAGAATGACCAAGAGATGGTTTACTGCATCAAGGAGAGAAGGTCGTCCCAACAATTTCTAGACATCATGACGTATGTCTAGATTTACTCTATAATCAGTTACAGTGGAAGCTAAGACTTAGCCTCAACTGTTTAATCTTCTCCTTTTGTTCATGGTAATGACATTTTCAGCCGGGCCGACAGCACTGTAAATAAACATCACATTTCCCATCTCGTCGAGAAACGTTTCCTGGGAAGCTCTGAGGCTGTTGACCTCTGCTTCTCCTTCCTTCAATCTGGACAGTCAGCTAGGACTATGGACAGCTATGTCACATGACCAGGTGACCCCGGAACCAAGAACGGAATCACAAGAAGCAAACGCAGAGTGTTAAACCTGCTCTGTATCATCACACTCACAGGTGAGAGACAAAGGAGCCATCTTGTTTGAGTTTCCATTATCTAGGGTTCCCCGTCACTCTCAATTTCTACCTAATTCCCAATAATGGATAACAGCCATTATCCTTCCAAATGAGGGGGCTGAGGCCTAGCTGATACAAATCTGTCCTAGTTAGGATTTCTACTGCTGCGATGAAACACCATGACCACAAGCAAGATGGAGAGAAAGGGGCTTATTTGGCTTATACTTCCACATTGTAGTCTATCACTGAAGGAAGTCAGGACAGGAACTCAAACAGGGCAGGAACCTAGAGGCAGGGGCTGATGCAGAGGCCATGGAGGGGTACTGCTTACTGGCTTGCTCCTCATGACTTGTTCAACCTGCTTTTCTATAGAACCCAGGACTGTGGTGGTATTGTGTTCCCCAAAATATTGTATACTCTAATAAATTTATCTGGGATCAGAGAACAGACAGCCACTAAATACAAAGGCTAGAAAATAGTGGCACTCACACCTTTAATCCTAGCATTCCAGAGATAGAAATCCCTCTGGATCTCTGTGAGTTCAAGGCCACATTGGAAATAGCCAAGCATGGTGACACACACCTTTAATCCCAGAAAGCCAGCCTTTAATCCCAGGGAGTGGTGGTAGAAAGCAGAAAGATATATAAGGCGTGAGGACCAGAAACTAGAAGCATTTGGCTCGTTAAGCATTTGGCTGGTTAAGTTTCAGGCTTTCGAGCAGCACAGTTCAGCTGAGAGCCATTCTGGATGAGGACTCAGAGGCTTCCAGTCTGAGGAAACAGGACCAGCTGAGGAACTGGTGAGGTGAGATAGCTGTGGCTTGTTCTGTCTCTCTGACCTTCCAGTATTCACCCCAATAACCGGCCTTGGGTTTGATTTTATTAATAAGAACTGTTGCTGGAGGGCTTCTCTCCAGGTTCCCCAAGCCCCGCAGTCCCACAGTCTACATATAAAATAATCACTCAGACGCTTATATCACTTATAAACTGTATGGCCGTGGCAGGCTTCTTGCTAACTGTTCTTTTATCTTAAATTAACCCATTTTTTATAAATCTATACCTTGCCATGTGGCTGGTGGCTTACCAGAGTCTCTACATGCTGCTTGTCCTGGCGGTGGCTGCAGTGTCTCTCCTCAGCCTTCTGCTTCCCAGAATTCTCCTCTCTCCTTTTCCCACCTACTTCCTGCCTGGCAACCTACTTCCTGCCTGGTCACTGGCCATCAGTGTTTTATTTATATAGAGAGCAATATCCACAGCAAAGAACTTTTAAGATTCATGCTACACAGGACCACCAGCCCAAGGATGGCACCACCCACAATGGGCTGGGCCCTCCCATATCAATCATTAATTGGGAAAATACTCTACAGGCTTGCTACAGCCCAATCTTATGGAGGCGTTTTCTCAGTTGAGGTTCCCTCCTTTCAGATAACTCTAGCTTGTGTCAAGTTGACATAAAACTGGCCAGCACAGTAGCCAATACAGTTCAGAATGGTCTTCATTAAGTGCCAGGGCCCATTTCCTTTGCAGTCTCTGACATGTAATTAACCATATCCATAGAGAGCTTGGTTATAGAGTGAAGGTGTCATTGCAATTGTCCATTTCTAAGACAAAAAGATACAGATTCATCTTACAGTGTGAGCTGGGAGACATCTTATTGGCCCGCCCCTAATCAGGAGAAATCAACTCCGTTATTGAATTTGCCTCTCGGGTCAAGTTTAGACCTGCCTGGCATGGGATGACTCAATTTTATTTGGTCTTCTTTGAATAAACATCTAATAAACACCTCCCAACTATTAGGTATTGTTCATGCACTTGGAAGAAAGTAATGAACAAAACACACAGAAATTCTTACCCTAAGACAATCCTGGACGTGGGAAGATAATAAGGTCTTAGTTATTAGTGATTGTACCTTAGGGGTGGTGAGTGTCAGATAGAAATTAATTCAAGAGAAGGTGTCGGGGGCAGCACAGTGGCAGCAATGGGAAGGAAGGTGTGTTTCAACTTCTTCTTTTTCTTTTAGATTTGCTTCTTTTATTTTATGTGTATGGGTGTTTTGCCTGCCTGTTTGTGTGTGCACCATGTGAGTGCCTAGTGCCTGTGGAGGTCAGAAGAGGGCGCTGTATCTCCTGGAACTGGAGTTACAGATGCCACCACATGACTGATGGAACCAAACCTGGGTTCTTGGCAAGAACAAGTGCTCTTAGCCACCAAGCCCTCTATGTGGTGATATTGTGTTCCCCAAAATATTATATACTTAATAAACTTATCTGGGGTCAGAGAACAGAACAGCCACTAGACAGACATAGAGGCCAGAAAATGGTGGCACACACACCTTTAATCCTAGTCTTCTGGAGGCAGAGATCCATCCAGATCTCCGAGTTTAAAGCCACACTGGAAACAGCCAGGCATGGTGACACACACCTTTAATCCCAGAAAGTGATGGGAGAAAGCAGAAAGGTATATAAGGCGTGAGGACCAGGAACTAGAGGCTGGTTAAGCTTTTAGGCTTCTAGCAGCAGTTCAGCTGAGATTCATTCAGATGAGGACTCAGAGGCTTCCAGTCTGAGGAAACAGGATCAGCTGAGGAGTTGTCGAGGTGAGGTCAGCTGTGGCTTGTGTCTGTCTCTCTGATCTTCCAGTATTCACCCCAATACCTGGCTCTGGGTTTGTTTTAATTAATAAGACCTTTTAAGATTCATGCTACACCTCTATCCAGCCTCCGTGTTTTAATTCTTTGCAAAGACAAGGTCCTAGCACACAACATGTAGACATGGGTTGCACTGGCTCCCTTTCTGCTTTAGCCTCTTCGGCTCTGGGATTACAGGCACGTGCCTCTACACCTTTTCTCTTTCTTTTCTTCCTTCCCTCCTTCTTTAGATTTTTCAGAGACAGGGTTTCTCTGTGTAGACTAGGCTATCCTTGAACTCACTCTGTAGATCAAGCTGGTCCTTGCCTCCAGAGTGCTGGGATTAAAGGCATGCACCACCACCACCACCACCACCACAACCACCACCACCACCTCCACCTGGCCTTTCTTCTCTTCTCTTCTCTTCTCTTCTCTTCTCTTCTCTTCTCTTCTCTTCTCTTCTCTTCTCTTCTCTTCTCTTCTCTTCTCTTCTCTTCTTCTCCCTCTCTCTCTCTTTCTCTCTCTCTCTCCTTCTCTCTCTTTCTTCCCTTTACTCTTCATGTTTTCATAGTCTCTTTCCACTTTCTTTACCTGCACACTCATGCACACACACAGTCACACATACACAATC